TAATTTTTGTTTCCTTCCTTTTTAAAACATCGTCGCGAGTCTCAAAGTAAGCTGTGTATGCGACTGTATTTTTGGAGTGAACAAAGCGCGGGAACCAATAGCATGCAGGCACAGTAATACTGGCGGATTGTTCCCCCGTCGCGCCCCTTCGTACCTATATGTGATAAATCGCTCAGTACCCAAGTTCAAGGCCAGCGTTCTTTTTTCACCGTTCGCGCGTACATTAACCTCCATTAGTCAGGTGATATCAATTCAGTTTCCACTGCTGGTTTTATGTTTCAGTATTTTCATGATTTTTTTTTATGAAATTATCGATTCATTTAGCTGTACTAACATGATGGCGCGTGAATAAAGCTAATTAAACGTTGTAAAAAGATGATTTTTTTTTCATCAGGATCGAATTTATTTGTGACCCATGATCAAAGGTGTACTTGGTGTTGTCGCCTGTCTTAGTTTTCGGGAGCGTTCCAAAAATACCCTGTATAGTTTGTACAACCATTAGTGTAAAATATGCTTTAAAAAAAGTCTCGCTGGGTTTCTTGCTGGTTTTTCCCAGGACTTACACATGATGTGATCTATATTGAATAAAAAATTATTCTATTTTCTTTTATCTGTTGAGATGTGTCTAGAAATTATGTAAAACTATTTTTTTCATTTATTTACTTATTTATTCAAATTTATATTGGGTAAATATTATATACTTATGTATATTGAGTATATAAGATGTTATTGATATTGGTGTCATTTTAAAGAGAATATCATGTACTATTACAATATAAAATAATTGTCTCCAGTAAGTATTACACTTTTCTTGTAAAACTCGAAACAAAAAATAAATATTTTTTTTGATATTCCCATTTTTTAAGCTTTATTTTCAGGCTTTATTTTTAATTTGACTAATTTTCTTTTAGCAAAATAAAATTTTGAATTCTTTGAGTCTTTTGAGAATATTTTTTATTTCTTTGAGTCTTTTGAGAATATTTTTTATTTGAATGTAGCTATAGTAGTTTTTCTGTAGTAATCGTTTTTGTTAAGACTGTCTCGCGCGGTCATAAAAAATAGTGACATTTGATTCGCGGACAGGTCAGGCGAGAATCACTCGCACGAGGCGGACGGTTGAGTGGATAAGGGAAGAACACTACATTGGCTATATTCAAAGTTTGAAAGATAGTTGGAAAGATGTAGATCAAAAAAGGACTTGTGTTGGTCTTTCTTTGGAACTGTCAAAAACTTTTGAATGTGTTATTCATAATATATTGATGAAACAGCTTGAACATATAGGCATACGTGGAATAGCCCTAAATTTAATGGAATATTATCTATATGACAGAATACAGGCGACAATATTAGATGCATTTGATAAAAAACCGGCCAAGTGCGAGTCGGTCTCGCGCACCAAGGGTTCCAAACAAATCCGTAGGTATATAGGTTTAAAATTAATAAAAATATTTTTATTATATGATGTAACTAAAAATTTATGCTTGTCGCAATTTTTCCTTTACCTGTCCTATAAAACGGTGCTTCGTACCAAATTTAAAGATTCTGAGTTTACGGGAAGTACCCTATAGGTTTTGATTCCCTTGCGAATGTCGAAAATTTGCGGCATAAACGGCTGTATCTTTTGATTGCGTTGGCTTAGAAGTTTGATTTTTTCACAGCTCTAAGGAACATTAGACTTGAGTATTTGATATGAATTTCAACTTGATACCTCCACGCGTTCCTGAGAAAAAGGGTCTTGACAGAGAGACAGACAGACGGACAACAAAGTGATCCTATAAGGGTTCCGTTTCTTCCTTTTGAGGTACGGAACCATAAAAAACAAAATCAATAACTCTAGTGCATTCCGATTTCAATAAATTTAGCCTAGGTGTACCGCAAGGTAGTAGGGCCTAGTATGGCCCACTGATGTTTTTGATTTACATAAACGAGCTTTCATTAATGATCAATCATCTATGTGTAATGTATGCTGATGATGCCACAATATTCTTATCAAGAGATAAACTAGATGATGCAAATTTTGTGAATGAAATTTATAACACACTAATCACAGTAGTTAACTGGCTAACTTCAATTAATTTAAAAGTAAATTTTGAAGAAACAAAACTAATAGAATTTAGGAATTATAAAAAAGCTCCAATTGAATTAAATGTTATAATCGACGGCGAAAAAATTGAGAAAGTGCATGACATGAGATTTCTGGATGTCACCATTGATAGTAATTTGAACTGGAAATCACATGTTGAGAAAATAAACAGTAGGATTTCAAGCAGTTGCTACACCATATTAATATTGAATAATGTAGCATCTAAAGATGTAGCAAAAAATTGTTACAATGGTCAAGTCTATCCACTTCTGACATTTGGAATTATATTCTAGGGCAATTATGTTGACATTCAAGCCACACAGTTTTGCATAAAAAGTGCTTAAGGATTATGTGTAATATTAATCAATATGACTCATTAAGAAATGTATTTATAGATTGTAAATTCCTGACGTTGACTTGTATATACATACTTGAAATTTCTGTGTTTGTCAAAGATAACCAAGAACATTTTAATATTAAAAATTAATCAAAAAAGAACTTGCGAACTCAATATGCTATTGATGTGTGCATTGTTAAATCATCTAGTTACATTTATAGTAAAAGTACTTTAATAAGCGGAATCAGAATCTTTAACCATTTACCTATATACATTAAATCATTAAAGAGCCCAAGGTTAAAAAAAAGTTAAAAGAATGGTTATTATCAAAATGTTTTTATAATTTAGATGAATTTTTTGGAAGTAATTATTGATTTATTGTAGTATTTTATTTTATTTTTTATTATATTGTACGTCCGAAATGGACAAACTGTTGTAACTATACTCTGTATTTGTAAGACCTCATGTACACAGTTATGACAATAAATTATTGTCTTATGTTAGGTAATTCATTCGAAAATAACTACATAAGTAACTTCCTAACATAAAGCCATAGAATTATTACGCATAGAAACGCAGTCTAGTACAAAACACGAGCGTCATTATGTTAGTGGGCGCGAGTCGAATGTGCCTACGCTCGCCACACGCACACATACACGCCATTCAGTGATACCAGTTTCTGGCGTTTGCGATCAAATTGTGCAAATCACTATTTTTTGATTAATTTAAAAAAATCGATATAATAAAGATCACGTATTACGAATGAAGATGTATTTTATGAGAATATAAAAAGGAATAAAACAAACACGATAATGATGGTACTAATATAACTTTATTATACATATCTTAATGGTACAAAAATGCAGACGTAATAAAATTTAAGAATATTATTAAACACAATTAATTTGCTCGAATATAATAAGCACATCGTGTAATGTTTAATTTTAACCGACTTTAAAAAGGGAGGAGGTTATCAATCCGGTGTATTTTGTAATGTTTTTTACCTCAGAATTCTACAATTTCTAAACCGATTTAGATTTTTTATATGAAAAGATATACACACAGATTGATCCAATATACACGCTGAAATTTTAATGGTTGTTTTCCCGAAGTAAAATAATTTTGCCTTAGTAGTACAATAGATTTATTAAAATAAAAATTATTAGGATGCAAAAATGGCAGATTTACAATCGAGAAAAACAAAACTCGAATGCGATCACAAACCAATAGCAATATCTCGCAAGGAGGTCGGGCGTGCAGGCTAGCTTATACCGAATTACTATAATAAAGTCTGGAAAAAAATTCACTGGACGTAATGTTGTGTTACGTTTATCGCACGCGCTACAGATTCCTACACAGTGAAGGGCCACTAATAAATGTTCATAACATGAACTCTCAAGCGTAGTGATACGACATAAACTAGTCTGGACGCCCGACTAGCTTGTGAGGTATTACTATTGTAAATCTGCCCTTTTTTAATTGTAATGTTTTTTAATTTAATAAATTGACTCTACTATCGAGACAGTATAATTTGGCTGCGGAACAACAACCACTAAAATTTCAGCATGTATATACGAATTGATCAAGCTTAAAAATCAGTGTACATACATATTGATAACCTTTCTTTTTGGGAGGCGGTTAAAATAGGCTATGTTTGGGTCTAACGTTACATCTGGTTAATGTTTGGGTGTAAAGTGACATCTGGTTACTAAAGGCGTTCTTATTAGTAATCTCATGATGTTGTAAATAATAAAGTTTTTATTCTATACTCTAAAACTTAGCCTTAGTCAATAAACAAAGCAATTAAAATAAAATAGTTGCGTTAAAATGGCGTCGACGAATCGCGATTATCTGATCACTGCGTATTAGTTTTAAGGCACCCATTGTTAATATAATGTTAACACTTAGAGAAGTAGGTATCTATATATAAACATTTGAATTTTACACAGAGCGTAGCAATTAAACGTTTTAAACACAAATAGAAAATAAATATTTTTAAAATAAAATAGTAATTTTTTTCCCACAACTAGCAACATTTGTATTATGAGAGCTTAGGTAAGTATTTTTTTCGTTTTACGTACTTATAATGAATTAAATGTATAAACTTATATGTGAAATGTAATACCATCACTTCTTTTATGTTTATCATCACCGTTGTGACAATGTTTTACAACACAAACGGTAATTTTTACAATTCTTTGCGAGTTCTTCTCCGTAAGACGTGACGTTGCGCACTAACGCGTCGCTGAGTCAACTAACGCGGTTTCGCGTTAGTTTTACTTGCTTCACTTTCGTTGCGCGTACTAGTATTCTATGCGTAATAATTCTATGCATAAAGCCATGTAAGCGTATCTACGGAAACGGAAACTAGTCGACTACTCTGTGTGACTTTCATGAAATATTTGACGCTGGCAGAATCCATTGGAAGTCATAGATATATTTTTCTTATATCTATGTTGGAAGTTTAGCAACTTCCAACATAGATATAAGAAAAATATTGCTAAACTAGGAAAAATCTTATTAGTCTGTGCTGACTGCGACCAAAAATATTTTCATAGATCATAGATAGACTGTGTATTAATGCGCATATTATCTTTGAAATCGTCATTGAAGATAAAAAAGGTTAGTTTTTTTAAATAATTATTTCAGTAATTCAGTATTTCTCTTACTAAAATCTGTCATCAAAAATAGTGCATAACCACCACCAAAAGTAATAAGGTGCGCTATGCGCTCGTAATAGGTGAGGGGATTGTTATTAGTTTACAGCTTACATAAAAATTAAAGTGTTTACTGCAAGTTTAAGTTTATGCTGCGTTTAAATTATTATTTTTAGTAAAAACGGAGTATGTATACTTTCTTGATTTTTCATTGATTTATTTTTACTTCCTATTCTTTCATACTACATGTTTTATATAATGAAATGTTTTAGACTATTTCGTAGCGTTACGTAACATGTAAATAATTATCATTTAGAAGCTTGCGATGGCCTATATAATTTTAATTTTAACTTGGAATAGTTGTCATAAGCAGATTATGTTTAATTATTCGTTTTTATGCTTTATGAAATTTAGCCAAATTGACCAATAGAATATTACAAATATGTTTAAGCCCAAGATCTCTTAGTTCATTTAATTATCCCTAACACATTTTAAAACAAAATGAATAATTAATGGAATAATGATGGTTACATTGATCAATAGGTTATGAAAAGAAAGGGGAATTAAAGTGAACGCAAGTAAGACAAAATTGATGGTTTTTGAAAAAGAAAGTAAAACAAGGTGTGAAATAAGAATAGAAGGGAAGTTGGCTGAGCTTGTGGATGAGTTTGAGATTTGGTATGTGTATTTAGCAGGAGTAGTTGCATAGAGTAAATTAGGCTCTGGACTCTATTGTGGGAAGTCAAAATGTGTCACAAAAGGCCCTTATGGCAATTCACAATACTGTCTTAGTCCCTACATTTACCGATTCGTTGCGGCACCAATGCGGCAACAACAAATATTTCATGACACGCCGGGTGTGTCAAGCGCCACAGACAAAAATTAACATGCCTATTGTGCCATCCGCCATGTGTAAAAGTAATGTTCTTTTTTATGCTTTTTTTACTTGTTTAGACCTAATTAAGTTTATTTGACATCAAACCTAAGTTACAAATGGAAGGATACTTGTTTTTAGTGGGTAACTACGTGTTTTTTTACGCGTTTTCTTTGAAATTGAGAGAGTGACTTTTTTATGAAGAGATTACAAACCTTTTGTACTATTTTGTTGTTATAAAAAAATCATTTATATAAGTAGGTACAGCTAAATCACCCTGGAAACCTTGGTTTTTATTAAATTAAATTTTCACGTAATAATAACATTTGTAAATATCAAACAATGAAGAACCTTAATTTGAAAAAAAAAAGGTATATCATTCATTGATATTTACAAATGTTAAATATTATTTAATGTTATACAAATGTAGTTATGTGTAATTAATCTGTAAACGTCTAATTAGTAAGAATAGCAAAACAAGTGTTTTCAAAAGGAAAAAAATGCCGGCGCTATATGGCGGCGGATTGACAAAAGACTATTTATTAGTGAACTTTTTTTATGCATGAACGGTTTCGAACTGTTTTAAGCAAAAATAAACCTTATACCATATCACAAGAGCACATGGTACTTTGTAAGTCCATTCGGCCAAATTATAGTAATAAGTCGGCACTTCAACCATTTTAAGCAAAAGAGATAAAGGCATTGTTTTTTTTTAACAGGAGATTTGTTTTCTAGAAACTTGTTTACAACTTGAGTTTGTGAGCGATCACAATGAGTGCTATTATTTGTTCATTTGTTTCTTATTAGAGTATTTTTCCACAGCATGTTTTAAAAACCTATAAAGTAAAAACGGCACCATGTACAAGTTAAAAAAGGTTGTCAACTCCTAAAAATTTCAATTTTTCAAAATATCCAGAAACGAAGCCGCAGGCATGAACTACTTGCATAATAATGAATATTTTGTTCTGGATAAATTTTCCAAAAAAGCAATTTGAGCGAGTTATAAGATTTAAAAAAAAAGACACGCCTCGCGTGTCATCCGCCACACACAAAAGTATTCGATGGCACGCCTGGCGTGTCACCCGCACTGAACCGGTCAATGTATGGTAATGAAAGTTGGGTGTGACAGAAGAAGCATGAGAGAAGAATAAATGCTGAAGAAATGCAGTCATTAAGGAGCTTTGTTTGAGTCTGAACAACAGGGTAAGAAATTGTGTGATAAGATAAAAGTGTGGTTTGTAAAATGATGTTGTGACCAGGATTAAGAAAAGAATGCTTCAGTGGTTTGGTCATGCACAAAGAATGAATGAGGAAAGAATGACAAAGCAAATCTATGTTGCGGAAGTGATGATGGGTCACCCTTGATGAAAGTTTATCACACCACGCAAATTGGTAATATATTGATGGATGAGATGGGCCAGATTGAGAGTACCTTTGATCGACGGGCATGTATTTGTACGTATATGGATGTAAAGAGAGGATAATGTCAAATAGAAGTCCGTAGTCTCTGCCTACCCCCTGGGTAACAGGTGTGAGTGTTTAAGACATACATTTATTTTAAAGTCATTAAATACTATAGTGTGAAAGTGTATAATTTTAAGATTACATCTTAGTTTTAGGTAAATACTTCTAATAAGCCATGGTAGCTCAGGTTAAGAGCTCGCTGTAAATTTTATATTATACAAGCAACCCGGGTTCATTCCCCAGTGGTATTGATGAAATTGTTAATTGTAATTGTGTTGGTTTACCACAACACGAAAGAGCAATCACTCTGTAACTCTTGTCAAAAATTAAATAAGGCATGTGTTGATTATGTCTTATATATATAGGTTGTAACTTTTAAATACTTCTAACCCAGACTTTTAAGCTTAACCTATGATGGAAAAAAACATATTTCTCAAAGTGTCACCTGTAATTTTTTTTTATTTCATTCCTACATGAACTCTCACCTGGTATCCCGAAGGGTAGGAAATTAATGAATTTATGAAATAAAGTATAATAAAATGCTTAGCTATGAAAAAGATTTATACTAATTCTGCATTATACTTTTTGTTTTTACATATGCTTGCTCATACAATTTTTTTTCTTTCATTTATTCATTACAGTTTAAAAAACCTTGTGATTGCTTCAAGTTATTGATTTTTATTTTGGCTATCAACATTTGTGTAAAAGTAATTTCTGTAAAAAGTAAAATAAAATTAGTTTTATGGTCTGGCTGTTTGTGAGTGACTGCAATGCAATATTTGATTCTATTGCAGTTTACATGGATAGGCAAGACTGTTTAAATGTCAATGTTTGCCCTGCAAAAATACTTAATCCATAAATAAATCCTGCACATATGAAGATAATTTTTATAATATTTGATATTCGTCGTACTTGTCTTCATTTGTTGTAATAACATTATTTATTTGTTCAGGTTTATGGCGATTGGCAAGTTCATACGTCACAACTTCGTGAGCATATCTTTCCCAGTTCTGACGGTCTCTTTGATTTGGCTTGACTGGAATCACACCAGGAAGTGGAAGGCTCAGTTGAAACAAAACTAATATGGCTATCTTTGGTATTACAAAACAGTATGTTTGGTTTGCAGTTCCCATAACTGGATTCTTCATCGGCAAGTTTCTAGACGATCAAGAAACATTAAGAATGACCAACTTTAGGGACAAGTCTTGCTTATATGGGGGCAATGTAAAGGAAGGTGATCCTCCATCGTGGCCTTGAACACCTAGCACCATGTAGTCACATTAATTCAGTTGTAATAAAATAGTTATTTACCCTATTCGTTTTTTATTAGAAATATCCTTATTCATAAAATCTGTGCACATCTTTTTAATCAACAAGTGGAAAAATTAAAAATTTTGTATAACCGACTTCGGGTTGACTATAGATGTCCGGTACTTGATTTTAATTATGTTTTCAGTTTAGGGTGGCTTGACAGGGTTAAGCTTGAACCTTTCACACTGTTTTTGGATGTCGGAAATGCGTTTTAAATTATTTACGATGAAAATAAATTGCACCAAAATTGCTTATAACGAATTGCAAATATGTCAATTTGGTCTAGTAATACAAACTGGACGTAGAATACTTGATTTTAATATTTTTTTCAGTTTAGGTTTGTCAGGGTTAAGCTTGAACCTTTTACACTATTTTTGTATTTCGGAAATATGTTTTTAATTAATTACAATAAAATTGCATGTAACGTAATGGGTCACCCATAAAAAAGTTAATTACTCGGACCCCGACAATCCATTTATAGCTGAAGATTGGGCTCATACACAACGAATTCAGTCGCAGTGGAGAGCAGTAAAGAAGTTTTTCAGAAAACAAAATTATTCTTAACGTTAGATGTCGCAATAACAAATTCACACTATTATAGATATAATGACAATAGATATAATAGCGCGTTTCCACCAAAGTTTTGTTGTCAACACATGTTTGTCGGCAACACGTGTTGTCGTGTTTCCATTTTCGGCGGCAACATCAAAGGAATACGCTTGTTGCCTACATTTGTTCCCTCGGTGGAGACGCTTCTTGCAACATTTTGAAACATTTTCGGAAACAAATGTCAACTTTTGTTGATTTGTCAATAGTTGCAAACATAAATGTTGTCAACATTTTTGGTGGAGACGCGCCTTGACGTTGACATTGTCCTACCTAACATATACTGTTACGTGAATGAGGTTAGTGATGTAGTTACTCTCCCTAAAAGTTATCTGGCTTATATCGATATTCAATATATGATTATTATGAAATATATTGACTGAAGAAACAGAATTGAAAAAAAAATTATAAAATGAGTAACATTGCAAAATTGATTATAAATTGTCTTGACGTATTACGTATATCCCCGTAATTAATTATAGCCGGCATATAATTAATTGTCTTTAATAGAATTTTATTGACAGTTATCTAAATTATCATGTATGATAATTACAATTCACATTCCATCGTTTCATTTACCATTATCTTATATATAGTGTTTAGGACAACCTGACTACAGATATCTGTACTAAAACCGAATGAGAACGCCCCGACTCCTCTTTTCTGCCCTACCCCTAGTGTTTTTGTAAAGCCATAGGCACGGAGGGAGAGAAGCCCCCGCCCGCTGTAGGAAATCTTAGGCACCTGTGTGAGCCGTACTGGCAGAGGCTGGTCGCCGAAGGTGACCAATAAGCCGAAGCTTCGGAGGAGAGCATGGGTGCCTGTGATTTGCTACTTATGGGCGAAGGGGCTGCACTTCCCGCAGCGACGAAGCCGTTGCAGAAATAACTTCAGTCAATATTCCTGTGTAAAAAAGTGAGGTTATGATTTTACAAACAAAATTACTCAAACTATACATTTCCGCAATGGGGGATGTTACGGCTTTCCCGTTCCCTCCCTTCACTCTCCTCCCACCTCCGTAAGCGAATGCAGGATGTATATGTGTAGTTTTACCCCGACTTCAATATAAAGAAAATGGGAACATCATCAATGTAGTTGAAGTCAATTAAATTCGCATTATTAAGGATAACTCAAAAAGTACTTGTCAGATCTTGATCAAATTTATTTGGAACCACATGAGAAGCACCAGCTTTCAAATAAAGAAGAATCATTAAAAACGGTTCACCTAGAAACGTTCTGTGGTAAGGCACCTAAAAAAAAGAAAATACAGTCGGATGGAGAACCTCCTCCTTTTTTTAGAAGTCGGTTGAAAAATATACGCTTTATTTATGACACGTGTTATCTCCGCACAAATTTTCTGTTTGACCATATTATACTGTTCTTTGCATCCCTAAATGTGTAAGCTAAGACAAGCGGCAAATGGATAACGGTCACAAAATTACAACCGTACGATCCATTACCAAGGAAAAGAAGGCGGTTAAAATTTAAAAACCTATACATCTACATATAAATAAAATTGAAATATCTGTCTGTAACATCGAAATAACTGCCTTTTTTTGAGTTGAGGGGCCTGCCTCTCATTTTCATGCAAATGAGACATGAATAACACTTTCTAAAACTTTTGTCGGTCTGTTTTTCCGGGCTAATCTTCGGAATTTTCGAATTTCGGAACCGATTATACTGAAACTTGACGGAGAGTTAGACAACAGTACCAGGAGTGTCTAGCTATATTTTATCCGAAAAATCTAGAGAACCTAGATATTATTTTGGAGAAATCGAATAATTGATAAAATAAATGGTTTTTGATGATTATCTTAAATCATTCATTTAACAACATTAATATATTTATCCATTCATCATTTAACCACATTAATATATCCTCCCTAGGTGAACCGGAATGTTAATTTTTTTAGAACAATTGTTTTTGTATTTTTATCAAATTGAATATTTTTTAGTATAAAATAGTATCACAACGAATGAGAGTATTTTAAGGTGAAAGCTCCAGGGTGGCCCGCGAAATTCAAATTTTCTTGCGTATTTTGGAATTTGCAGGTCAGGGTCAGGTTGAATGTTTAATAAAATATGATTCGCGACCGTAACGAGTATGTGTTTATAGAATTATTATCATTAAAATCACCAATACAACCCTATAAGTTCATATAATCCCTTTGAATGAGTTTTTCTGGAAATAGCCATACATTGGAATTATACAAACATAGACGGTTGTATTGATGGTTATAATGATTATAATTCTGTAAATAAATACTCGTTATGGTCGCGAATCCACTTCTCAATTTTCAAGATGCTCTTAATGTCGCCCAATTTCAATACTTATATCATCAATTATGTCGATCCTCGACAAACTTTCGTCTAGGTCGAGAGCATAAATTGCCGGCTCTGCCACTCACTTCTGTAGCTATCTTTTTAAAATATAAAACAATAAGCTCTTAAATATAAACCAATAGGCATGGGCGCAGCTTGAATACATTGAAAGTATTTAAAAAAATGTCTATATATTGACAACGGACAAATAAACAAGACAAGACATTGTTATATTATAATGTAATTACATAGTTCTCTTTGCCATCGCATACCACACTATAATGAATGGCGCCCACAGCCCGGTTCCGAAGAATACAGAAAAGAACAAAGTAGCCGCGTATCTGTAAAAAAAAAAACAATTCATGCATTTATTGGACAGCTTTTTGACGCAGTGGCTTAGCAATGAGTTGGCAGCGTTGGGGCCTGCCGGTTCTAATTCCGCACGGAAAAGGTATTTGTATGGCTTACAAATAATTATTCCGGGTCTGAATATTTGTCCTTGTGCCATTTAAATTTGTAAACAGCCTCCACGATACAGGAGAAAATCCTAGTGTTACGAACCTTTAAAACACTATTATACAGTACTAAAAGTCCATTGCTTAACATTGACTACTCCATAGAGTGCCTCATAGAAAGGATATTTGTTATAGTCGCCACGCTTGGCAGGCGGATTGGCAACCGCAGTTTGAACTAATTTGAGCTGTTATCAAGGAGGATGCTGGTGTCCATCATCTGTTTGACTTTCTTTTGTGACCAGCTACGTCACACACGGGATAATATGGGGTATTTAATGGAGTCTATTACGTTACGCCGCTGACTCTTAGCTGTTAAAGTAGTAAATAAAGCAATTGAATTTATCAAATATAATAGTTTTGAATATAATGTATAAAACATCTCAAAATTGAATAGCAATGGAGTTTATTAGTAGCAGTTTTTCTGGACTGATACAACTTGTTATGGACGGCGAAGGGAGCCGGCGCCCCCTCATACCCTGTTACGCCCCGCACACCGCCCGGACATCACGTGATGTCTACAGCCAACAAGCGCACAGCAACGCCGCGTGGGGACACAGCGAAGTTGAAACCCCCGCCGCGGGAATAAAAGAAAGACAGTGGAGGATGAGGTCCGCCGCCGGAACACACCTCCCACAGCCTCTGACCCTATCTATCACTGTGTCCAATAATGAGATCTTATTTAGCATCAAAGGACTGATGCCCAAATGGCCCCGGGCGTGGATGGTATCTCCAACCAAGCCCTTAAACATTTTCCTGAGCAGGTGTTAACCCTATTAGCCATTATCTTCAATGCCTGCTTCAACCTTAGTTACTTTCCCACCACGTGGAAAGAGGCAACTGGCTTTGGTATCTCCTAGCCAGGAAAGCCTCACAACCTCCGCTCCAGTCACCGTCCCATCAGCCTCCTCAAGGCCATGGGCAAACTCTTTGAACGAGTCATACTCACTCGCATGAGGCTCCATCTGTTATCCACATACGGCGACCCTCTTGTCATCCCCACTAATTTGGTTTCCGAGCGAAACACTCTTATCCCCAACAAGTTCACCGTATTGTGGAATATATCCTCAGCCGTTTTTATCCTCGTCGTCATATGACCATCGTGGTCTTTTTCGACATGGCAAAAGCGTTTGATAGCATCTGGCTCGAAGGCATTATCTACAAATTCTACAAAATAGGCCTCCCTGATAGTCTTGTTCGTTTCGTGGCCTCCTACTTAAAGGACTCGTTTTAGACACGAAGGCACGCTCTCCTTTCAGCGTCCTATCAAAGCCGGTGTCGCTCAGGGCTCAGTGCTTGCCCCTCCTATATATCCTGTTCACAAAGGACATTCCCATCCCGTCGAGAGGTGTTCAACTCTCCCTCTTTGCAAATGATACTGCCCTCTACTGTGTAAAGGTATCTCACTACCTTTCATACGGAACAAGATCCAAAAGTCAGTTATTGACTGAGCTTGGTTCCAAAAATGGCTAATCGATATGAACCTGGAGAAGATCTCCGCCGTTCACTTCGATCATAAACGACGCCGCCCCACTACCATTCCACCAATCCGTATGCTAAGGACCCCTGTCCCCTGGCATACGACCGCCAAATACTTAGGCGTCACTCTTGACACGGGGCTCACCTTCGGGCCCCGTGTCAAGGGAGTAACTCGCAACTAGGCTCAACCGTATGCTGGGCCGACACAGTAAAAATGTCCCTCCGTAACATGCGAACACTTTATAAGGTCTGTATACGACCAGTTATGACTTCCGCGGGCTCCACATTTGCTCACGTTAAACCCAAAATCCTAAACGAACTTCAGATAGTTCAAAACCACTTCTGTCGTGTGGCTGCGAGCGCACCCTGGTACGTCCGTAACGCCAACCTCAACTGAGACTTAGAGCTCCCCACAGTCCAACAGTTCCTAAAATCACTCTCTGAGAACTTCTTCAAAGCCTCAGAGTCTCACCCCAATCATCTCATTCGTGAGGCAGCTTTCTATGCAGCTGCACTTCCCTTTCGCTATCGAGTCCGAAGACCGAGAAACTCTCTCTCGGACCCCCCAAACAAGCTCTCGGCCGACCTGAACCGCCTCCTGGCGGCTTAAGCCGAATTTTCTCCCCGTCCTTAATTTGCTTTAGTTAGGCTCACCTCTCAGCAGCTACTCGCCACCTGCGCCCCCTTTTCCCTAAAGAGGGTCGCTTGCGATTCGGCAGAAAAGTCGTACAGGTCAATGCCAGTCTCTCAGGTGGTGTTTAGAGTCCCACATAACCACGCAGCCGGCTGTCGTGGTATGATTAGAACATTCACCACCTCCCTCCCCCGCTTCCCGGAGGGTAGACCTTTTCATTGCTTCTGGGCGCATTAAAAATGCATCGAGGTATTCGATTCGAAAGCGAACAAGAAGACGCTCAAGAAAGAAGACTCTCAAAACTCCCAAGAAAATATTTCCTCTAGTGTAGATTAATTTAATTAGTAATTGCCGCAATTTTAAAGAGTATAATATATATTATTGTAAATCATCCCACCTTTTCTTTCTTATACAGTCCTCTTATTAGAGCTATCGAAGTAAATACATACAGTCAACATCTATCTCTACACACATAACTAATTCGACCCCACTGTTTTAGCTACCCACAATAATTGTTTGGTCCATCGCCGCCGGATTGAAGCCAGAAGATTAAAGCTAGAAGATCGAAGCCAGAATATTAAGATCGTACAGAAGAAAGAAGATTATTATAGAAGATCACACGAATCATCACGATCCGCGCTCTCCCTAAAGAGCTTGAGACTGATCATATTTTTAACGACCTCAAAGCCCAAAATCTCCCGGTCCGGAAAGTGCACAGGATGCACCACCAGACCGATAAAAAACGATTCTTAGATTTATGCCTTTTCATTCTGGACTTGTCTCCGGAAGGCAAGGAGATTTTTAACGTGAGGCGCATCTGCAACCTAACAGGAATTGCAGTTGAAGCCCCCCGTCATAGGGGCATCGTTGGCCAGTGCCACCGATGCCAATTGTACGGCCACTCGGCTAAAAATTGTTACGCCTGGCCTAGGTGCGTCAAGTGTCTAAGTGACTTCGGTACCACTGACTCTCCCGTACGCCCGAGACCGAACCACCGAGCTGCGTCAATTGCGGCGAAGTGGGACACTCAGCGAACTATCGCGGGTGTTCCAAAACGGCGCGGAGGATGCGGCGCGGAGGTAGAAGCCGTCCAGGACGCGCGGGTCTAGCCAGTGTGTCTCGCTCTCGGCTGCCTGTCCCCAAACCAACACCGTCCACAGCACCCATTTCCTCGCCTAAAATCACCACTAAGCCCACCCCAGTCGCCGGGGTGACCGACCAAGGTGCTAACCCTCCCGCGCCTTTCACGCCAAAACCCAATGCTTGAGTGAAACCGCCGGTACTTGTCGCCTCACAGCCAGTGCCGCCCCCCGGGCCTCAAAACCGAAGCACGTCCCACACGAACCACGTCCCAAGGCTCATCCTCCTTCGCCGCCGACTTCTCGCTAGACTGCGGCTTCATCAGCATTATCAACGTTGCTGAGTTATCTTACTTGGCCCGTAAACTCCGCGGAGCCACCTTACTTCAGAACAAGCTACAATTGAGCAATTTAGCACGCGCCTAATCACCTCTTCTAAATATCAGAATGGCAGCACAAATCTAGTAAAAACGTAAAAGTAACCTAGGTAGAACTAAACCACGCTCTCTGACTGTCGCGTTCTTTAACGCGAACGGCCTCAGAGACCAAAACAACGAGATCGCGCTCTTCCTGCGCAACCACAATGTAGACGTAATGTTAGTGCAAGAGACTTTTTTGAAACCTAGCCATCTCTATCATAAGATCGCAAACTACACCCTAGTCAGAAATGATAGGTTGACCAACCCTAGCGGCGGCACCTTGATCTACTATTAAAGGTCCTTGCACTGCGTACCAATTGACGCTCCTCCGTTAACCAACATAGAAGTTTCCATATGTAAGGTAGCTCTCTCTGACCATCCGCCACTTACCATCGTATCGGCTTACCTATCGCCACTCAAACGCATAGTTGAATCAGAGTTTGCAGAATTACTCAACCTAGACTCTAGTGTCATAATAGCTGGAGACCTCAACAGTTTCAACAACAACAACAACCCATTCGCTACAAGTCACCAACCAGACGTGCTTGACGTAGCGGTACTCAAAGACGTCCGTTTGTCGATATCAATTGAAACAATATTAGAATTCGACTCGGACCATAGACCAGTCCTATTACAGCTGGGCCAGCCCGCAGGTGAAGTCTTTCAAACCAAAACCATGGTGGACTGGCGGCTAAACTCAAAGTCAAACTCGAGTCTACGACTTCCCAGCACGACGAAATCCCGGACAAGGCTATTGGCCCACCTCACCTCTACAGTTTGCTCTCATAAGGTTTGGGTGTCGAGCAATCGACACATGAAGCTTCCTAAGACAATACGATCACGATCGTACTATAGAAAACAAATTCCAACTCCAGAACAAGACGAAAAGGCGTGTCAAAGAGTTTAGACAGGATAAATGGGATAATCTACTGATGGACATCGAGTCATCTCAAACTGCCTTCTGGCAGTTGACCCGAGCTCTGAAAGCAGAACAATCCTCACCTATGCCACCTCTCATCAGGCGAGAAAACCCCGATCTCGCCTTTGACGACTCTGAAAAGACCGAATGCCTCGCTGAAAGTTTAGAGAGCCAATGTCGAGCGAACTTACAGATCCCGCTCACCTCGCAGAGGTTGAAGCGGAGGTTAAGCGTAAGTCTGCACTACCACCTGCGGGCGACCCCCTAGAAATTGTGACTGTTGACGAACTCACAGAAGT